AGCAAACCAGTCAACCAGCTAGCAAACCAGCAAACCAGTCAACCAGTTAGCAAACCAGCAAACCAGTCAACCAGTTAGCAAACCAGCAAACCAGCCAACCAGCTAGCAAACCAGCAAACCAGTCAACCAGCTAGCAAACCAGCAAACCAGTCAACCAGCTAGCAAACCAGCAAACCAGTCAACCAGTTAGCAAACCAGCAAACCAGTCAACCAGCTAGCAAACCAGCAAACCAGTCAACCAGCTAGCAAACCAGCAAACCAGTCAACCAGCTAGGCAAACCAGCAAACCAGTCAACCAGCTAGCAAACCAGCAAACCAGTCAACCAGCTAGCAAACCAGCAAACCAGTCAACCAGCTAGCAAACCAGCAAACAGTCAACCAGCTAGCAAACCAGCAAACCAGTCAACCAGCTAGCAAACCAGCAAACAGTCAACCAGCTAGCAAACCAGCAAACCAGTCAACCAGCTAGCAAACCAGCAAACAGTCAACCAGCTAGCAAACCAGCAAACCAGTCAACCAGCTAGCAAACCAGCAAACCAGTCAACCAGCTAGCAAACCAGCAAACCAGTCAACCAGCTAGCAAACCAGCAAAACCAACCAGCAAACCAGCAAACCATATCCATAGTAGAGCTAATCCTTTCACATCAACATCCTCAATATTAGCTGAACACTGGAAGCCTTTTGTCCTCTGTCTATTGCATGGAACTTCTGGTGGGGTTCCACGCCTCTTTTCTTCTTTACGAGCCTCTGTTCATTACGAGTTTCTTTTACATCATTCAGAAAAATAGCGAGATATTTCAGATCCATGGAATAGCTATTTTATTTATTAAAGTTAATCCTTAGGTGAAGAATAGTCACTTTCTGTACAGATAGCCGCCAATGATGAGGTATTGTTGCCTATAAAACCTTGATTGATTTCCCTACTAAACTCGTTCCCTTCCTTGATTCAGATCCTCATAAATTACCCTTATTTTTTACCCAATCTAATATCTAACATCTAAATCGGTACCTAAAACTGCCACCTACGACAATTTCTTTGCAGTGCTAAACTTTTCGTTTAGGATTTTTCCTGACAAACTCAGTGACTCGATTCAGTGGAAAATTCGCGATGTCTCGCATCGAGGAAGGCTTCGTTCCTCGGTCAGTTTATAGTAAATAGTTCGTACTGCTGGCTACTGATTTATTTGTAGTTACTAGCCCTGCCGCACTGGCTCATTTACGGCCTACTGGCCTACCTACTGGCCTACCTACTAGCCTACTTACTGGCCTACTTACTGGCCTACCTAGTGGCCTACCTACTAGCCTACTGGCCTACTACCTACTGGCCTACTTACTGGCCTACCCTACTAGCCTACTTACTGGCCTACTTACTGGCCTACCTAGTGGCCTACCTACTGGCCTACTGGCCTACTTGCACCGGCCCACCTACTGGCCTACTTCACCGGCCTCACTTCACTGGCCTACCTACTGGCCTACTGGCCTACTTCCTGGCACACACTGGCCTACCTACTGGCCCTACTTGGCCTACTGGCCTACTGGCCTACCCTACTGGCCTACCCACCGGTGCCTACTGGCCACTTCACTGGCCTGCACTGGCCTTACTGGCTCACTGACGGCCTACCGAGCCCACTGGCCTGACTTACTGGCCTACTTACTGGCCTACTGGCCTACTTACTGGCCTACTCATCCCAAGGTAAAGTGAGTAAGGTAGGGTTCTCCAGAGCAAAACAAGTTTTTGACCCTGGCTAGTTTAAAGTCCTTAAAGTTTAAAGTTTAAGTAAGTAGGCCAGGGTAAGCAGGCCAGGATAAGCAGGCAGGATAAGTAGGGCAATAAGTAGCCAGCAAGTAGGCCAATAAGTAGAGGGCCAATATGGACATTAATCATATGGAAACTATCATTTTGCTCTTATTATTAGCATCCCGATCCAGCAATCAGAATCAACCTTGTGCAACACCAAGTACAGTACAGTACTAGTGCTGAGTGTACTCAATTCATTTCTGCTGTAGATAGCACAGTAATCGTATCAGTTTCAAGCGTTAAACCCTATTTAGGTCGTTTTCCGTTTGCCGCCTCCTGATCAGCGTCTAAACGCGCAACTCGTGCGCTTCATCCAGAAATTCCAAAAATTATCGCAATTGTGGACGGACAAGCATCGACACGTCCGATTTCATCTTGTCGCCAATACGATGCGATGGATACAGTAAGATTTCGCTCAATCTGGCTGTAGATCAGCTGGCTGTAGATCAGCTGGCTGATCTACAGCCTTTCACCTTTCTTCTGAGTCTGACAATGCGCAATCTGACCTCTGACATCTGACGAAGTAAACGAAGTAAACGAAAATATTTCCAGAAACTGGAATGTCGACGATTTTATGGATTTCGCTGATGAGAAACGCGCAAAAATCTTGGGAGCACTCGACGAGGATATTGGTGAGTCAAAAAGCTAGTCATTTTTGGCAAATTAAAGCTCTAGTGTACGGTGAATGAAGTCTTTTTTTTAGGAAAACTTGTCGGCGAGCTCGGTCCGAATGATCCATTGTCATTGAATCTGAGATCGGATCTCCGACAAACAAAAGACGCTTTCTATCAACTAGAACAACGATCACAGAAGACACCTGGTAAGTGAAGAAAGAGTAAGGTTTGGCTACAGCACAAGGACTGGTTCTCCAGCACAAGGACTCTGAACTGTGCTCTGGACAGAATTTGGCTGTCCAGAGCTGTCCAGAGCTTGGCTGTCCAGAGCTTGGCTGTCCAGAGCTTGGCTGTCCAGAGCTTGGCTGTCCAGAGCTTGGCTGTCCAGAGCTTGGCTGTCCAGAGCTTGGCTGTCCAGAGCTTGGCTGTCCAGAGCTTGGCTGTCCAGAGCTTGGCTGTCCAGAGCTTGGCTGTCCAGAGCTTGGCTGTCCAGAGCTTGGCTGTCCAGAGCTTGGCTGTCTAGAGCTTGGCTGTCCAGAGCTTGGCTGTCCAGAGCTTGGCTGTCTAGAGCTTGGCTGTCCAGAGCTTGGCTGTCTAGAGCTTGGCTGTCTAGAGCTTGGCTGTCTAGAGCTTGGCTGTCCAGAGCTTGGCTGTCCAGAGCTTGGCTGTCTAGAGCTTGGCTGTCTAGAGCTTGGCTGTCTAGAGCTTGGCTGTCTAGAGCTTGGCTGTCCAGAGCTTGGCTGTCTAGAGCTTGGCTGTCTAGAGCTTGGCTGTCTAGGAGCTTGGCTGTCTAGAGCTTGGCTGTCCAGAGCTTGGCTGTCCAGAGCTTGGCTGTCCAGAGCTTGGCTGTCCAGAGCTTGGCTGTCCAGAGCTTGGCTGTCCAGAGCTTGGCTGTCTAGAGCTTGGCTGTCTAGAGCTTGGCTGTCTAGAGCTTGGCTGTCCAGAGCTTGGCTGTCCAGAGCTTGGCTGTCTAGAGCTTGGCTGTCTAGAGCTTGGCTGTCTCAGAGCTTGGCTGTCTAGAGCTTGGCTGTCTAGAGCTTGGCTGTCTAGAGCTTGGCTGTCTAGAGCTTGGCTGTCCAGGAGCTTGGCTGTCCAGAGCTTGGCTGTCCAGAGCTTGGCTGTCCAGAGCTTGGCTGTCCAGAGCTTGGCTGTCTAGAGCTTGGCTGTCTAGAGCTTGGCTGTCTAGAGCTTGGCTGTCTAGAGCTTGGCTGTCTAGAGCTTGGCTGTCTAGAGCTTGGCTGTCTAGAGCTTGGCTGTCTAGAGCTTGGCTGTCTAGAGCTTGGCTGTCTAGAGCTTGGCTGTCCAGAGGTCCAGAGGCCCAGAGGTCCAGACGGTCCAGAGGTCCAGACGGTCCAGAGGTCCAGAGCCAGACGGTCCAGTGCCAGTCGAGTGCCAGTCGAGTGCCAGTCCAGTGCCTTCTTTCGTTTCTCTTCGTACTTTTGTTTAAAAAATTCTAGAGCCCGACTTCTCTGAGCAATTCGATCAGCAAATGACGACGATTTTGCGAAAACTTGATGACTCTTGGCGGGTTCTAACTGATCGAATCGGCCGCCCCGTTGAACGATCCCTTGCCGAGCACGATCAAACTTTAGAAGAACACAAACATTTCGAGGAATCACTTCATTCTTTGGACTCCGATGTATCAACTGTCAAAGGACTCTATTCGCAAATCAGTGATCCAACGGCCGCACAAAGGGTTTGTTCACATTTTAGACCTAAAATTGATTGTGGTAAACACTTTGGTAACTGGTAAACAACTGGTAAACAAGCAGTACTTTGCCATTCGCCATAATTTGCCATGGCAATCCAACTTTGAGCTTAAATATCTTGGGATTGGACCATCCAATTTGAATACTTTTTATACCAATCGATAGAGAAAGACTTGGCGCATCTAATGATATCGAGAATATTTGAATTGGACAGCCCAACACCAAGATATTGGAGCTCAAAGCTAGATTGGCAATGGGAAAGGAGCACGGAGCGCAAAGCAAATATATATTCACATTTCTAAAGCTTATCCGGCACAAAAAATCTTCTTGAAAGCCCAATTGATATTCAAAATCGATCCCTCCTTTTTCCTTTCCACTATTTAAGAAAGAGAATTTGTATTTAATTCCTCTTTTTAATCTATTTCTTAATTAAAATTCTTTATCTAGACCATTGCCCATTTTTCGCAAAAGTCGCTAAAAAGTCGCTAAAAGTCGCTAACAGTCGCTAAGAGTCGCTAACAGTCGCTAAGAGTCGCTAAAAGTCGCTAAAAGTCGCTAACAAAGTCGCGACCTAAAAATTGAGTCCCTCTTTCCTAGGGAGTCTCATCGGCCTCGTCGTCTCATCGGCGTCGTCACATCTGTCTAACACACAGAAAGTCAAATAGGCAAATCATTTTGCATTATATATTTTCCAAAAAGTCCCCTAAAATGGTTTAGTTTAAGTTTCTTTATCACTAAACACAAAAAAGCAAAGAAATGCCTCTACCCGGGTTCGAACCCGCGAGGTGTAGAACTGAAGCCAAGCACACTAACCACTAGGCCTCGCCTTCACTTTTCTCCAGCTGCTTGATTTGTGATTTGACTATTCATGATCGAGAAAGCCACCAGCGAACAACGAAGCTTTAGCCACAGAATATTCATAACACCCTTTTTTTCCTCCTCGGCCAAGCGGTCTCGTGGTGTAGTGGTTATCACATCTGTCTAACACACAGAAGGTCGACGGTTCGATCCCGCCCGAGATCATTTTTGATTTCTTTTTCTGATTTAAGATGGGGAAAGCTTAAGATGGAGATTTTTAAGTATGGCTATGGCTTTTCGAAATCGTTAGCTTCAGTTTTTCAGACGATTTTCAGACAATTTTCAGACATTTCAGACATTTCAGACAAATTTCAGACAATTTTCAGTTAAACCTCGAAAAGCTGAAAGATCTTTGGGAAAATCTGTGGGATTTGGCGCGAATGTATGTGGAGAGATTGAAAGTCCAAGAAGCTGTGATGAATGGGACGAATCAATTGACGGAAACGGCGAAAAAGCATGAGGTGGATGAGATTTTCAAAAGAAAACCTGGAAAATCTGCAATTCCCGAACACTAAACCGAGTTTTTGCCGAATTTAACCGAATTTAACCAGCATTACAATATAGAAGCCCTATTTTTTAAACTCAAAATATGACTTTCCTCAGTTGCCCAATGATCTGGAGATCTGGAATCGGGAGATCTGGAGATCTGGAGATCTGGAGATCTGGAGATCTGGAGATCTGGAGCTGGAACTCTGGAGCTCTGAATCTCTGGAGTTGGAGCTCTGGAGATCTGGAGATCTGGAGATGGAATTGTATTTGATGCTAATTTCCTACAATATTTTCCTATTTACAGTAGTTCTAAAGTCGATTTTGTAAATGTTTTGTAAATATTTTGCAAATTTTCAGATCGCTCTCTGTAGCCACGACGATTTGTCAAGCGATTTGCAAAAGATGGCGAAAATTCGCGAGAATTTAGTGGCCACGAAAATGGTTAGCTTTTTGAATTCGAAACTTTTACAGCATTTACTGTAATCTTATCGTGAAGAGTACAAGTACAGTAGTTAGACAAAGCCTAAGCCAGCCTAAGCCAGCCTAGGCCAGCCTAAGCCAGCCTAAGGCAGCCTAAGCCAATCTAAGCCAGTCTAAGCCAGCCTAAGCCAGCCTGAGCCAGCCTAGGCCTAAGCCAGCCTAAGCCAGTCTAAGCCAGTCTAAGCCAGCCGAAGCCAGCCTAAGCCAGCCTAAGTTTAAGCCAGCCTAAACCAGCCTAAGTTTAAGCCAGCCTAAACCAGCCTAAGCCTCACAAAATCAGCTCGCAGTCGTTTCTGAGAGCTTCTACAAAAGTTACAGTAACCCATAAACCTCTATGAAAGTTACGGCAAACCCAAAACCTATCGAACAAGTCATAATTGATACTATAGACGTGATGATTACTGTAAGAGCGATGAAATTGGTGACAGGGAATGTTTAAAGCAAATCATAGAACACTAGGTGAATTGACTACTTGAATTGACTACTAATTGACTTTTAAAAACTGTTAAATAGTAAAGGCTTTCTCATCGTTAAGTCCTCATAAATGAAAAACAAGTACAAGACATGGGGAAATTTCAACCCAAACCGAATTCCACCATTCTCAGCCGTCTCTTCACCGATTTCTTTGAAATTTTGTTTACAAATAGAAATCAGCTTTCTCTACTTGTAGACAAAATTTTAAAGTAATCAGGCAAAAGAGAGCTGAGGAAATGAAGGTGAAATTGACGAATTGACAAACTGTCAAACTGACATCCTGTACAAGAACTGACATCCTGTACAAGTACTAACATCCTGTACAAGTACTAACATCCTGTACAAGAACTGACATCCTGTACAAGTACTGACATCCTGTACAAGTACAAGCACTGACATCCTGTACAAGAACTGACATCCTGTACAAGTACTGACATCCTGTATAAGTACTAACATCCTGTACAAGTACAAGCACTGACATCCTGTACAAGTACAAGCACTGACATCCTGTACAAGAACTGACATCCTGTACAAGTACAAGCACTGACATCCTGTACAAGTACAAGCACTGACATCCTGTACAAGAACTGACATCCTGTACAAGTACAAGCACTGACATCCTGTACAAGAACTGACATCCTGTACAAGTACAAGCACTGACATCCTGTACAAGTACTAACATCCTGTACAAGTACTGACATCCTGTATAAGTACTAACATCCTGTACAAGTACAAGCACTGACATCCTGTACAAGAACTGACATCCTGTACAAGTACTGACAATCTATTACCAATCAAGAAACCTCTTACTAATCAAGAAACCAATCAAGAAACCTCTTACTAATCAAGAAAACAGATGTCAAGTACAGCAAAATACTCTTCTCCAGCATCGATGTAACCCTCAAAATCACTAATCACCTTTTGATCTTTAGACTCTTGGCCAAGAGCAATGGCTGCTGGACTCGTTGAACGCTCAGGTGGCTGCTTTGAGGCAACATGTCATCAGGACACGCCAACACATTCCAACGTTCGTTTTTAGAGAGTTTCTAGAGAGTTTTTAGAGAATTTTTATCCAATATTTTGTCAGAGCTTTTGAATGGTGTATTTTTAGACATCCTGATGTGGACCATGTCGAGGACGAGGCCCAACAACTCAACGTTCGTTGGGAGAACATTTGTGTACAGGTGGCTTCTTTGGATAAACTTTATCTAGATCTATAAGCCTTTTTAGATCTAACAAGATAGCTAGACATAAACTTAAACATAAAAGATATCTGAGTTAGATGAAAGTTCTCTAGGTAAACACTTCTTTTAGAATCGAGAACGCTTGGAAACGGTGGAGAAAACGATGCAAACGATGGGGTTCGTGCGAGGAGAGCTGCTCAATGAAATGACATGGCTCGAAAAGGTATTCAAAAATGGGACTTACAGTAAACTAAACCTGGCCAAAGCTAGGCCCGGATAAGCTAAACTAGAAATAGATCTATTCGGCCTAATTCGTTCAAAGCGAGGGTCAAGCTACTGGAATCTCCTTGACCCCCACGTCCGACCCTTTCAACTTTTCCATCTTTACCATTTTCTCAAAATACAAAAGTTTTTCAAATAGACAGAAAAACAGACAGACAGACAAACAGACAGACAGACAGGCAGACAAACAGACAGACGGACAGACAAACAGACGGACAGACAGACAAACATGTAGACAAACAGACAGACAGACAGACAAACATACAAACAAACAGGTAGACAAACAGACAAACAGACGGACCGACAACCAGACGGACAGACGGACAGACAAACAGACGGACAGACAGCCAGACAGACAAACATGTAGACAAACAGACAGACAAACAGACAAACAGACGGACAGACAACCAGACGGACAGACAAACAGACGGACAGACAGACAGACAGACAAACTTTGCGTTTTACAATAAGACAATTCTAATAGCTGAAGTTATCCCATGTTCCAGGTCGAGAAAACGATCGATCAACTGCGTCGGCCTGAGGAGTTACGTTCGAATGAGTTGCAACAGCAATTGGATATTTTGGCTCAAGAGTACTCTCAATTACAGGTACTTTCAACTAGTCATACGATTTATCTAAATGCACAATGTTTTAGGAAAGAACAGCCGCCATTGAAGCGCTAAATCGCGAGGGTGGAAAGTACATTCGTGAGGCAAAACAACACGATTTGAGAATCGATCAGTACACGGATGGGGTCATCAGAGTGCACGGATCGGGAATAAGGGATCTGTTCACGAGGTTTGCTTTGCAGCTACAGCTACATCTACAGCTACAGTTACAGCTACAGCTACAGCTACGGTAACCCTGAAAGTTCTCCCTTTAGAGCCATTCCCCAGCCGATGAATGGAGCTCAAACTGTCGCGAGTGAGCTCGAGATTTTGAATAAACGCTTCGCTCAACTTTCGTCGATGATTCTCGAGAAGCAAAATCGAGTTCAAATCATGGTGCAAACGTACAAGAGGAAACAACAGGCGAGGCTTATATACGAAAGCGTATATAAGGCGACACTTTTCTTGTAGACACTTTTCTAATCGTTGTTTTTCAGGAAGAAGCCCTCAAAGAATGCCTTGAACGCCAAAAAGATCTTGACTCGGCGATTGCCGGTCTGGGAAATCTCGAACAAACGATTTACCCGACAAAGTTGAATCTTCAATTGAATCAGGAAAGGCCAGAGGATGCGGCTAACGAAGTTCAGGTTTGTTAGATCTCAAGTAGATATATGACAAGTTGGTCTTGGCACCTGGCTTGGCTCCTGGCTTAGCCCCTAGCTTGGCCCCTGGCTTGGCACCTGGCTTGGCTCCTGGCTTGGCTCCTGGCTTGGTCCCTGGCTTGGTCCCTGGCTTGGCCCCTAGCTTGGCTCCTGGCTTGGCTCCTGGCTTGGCTCTTGGCTTGGCTCCTGGCTTGGCTCCTGGCTTGGCTTGACCCTGGGCTAGGCCTGAGCCAGAATTCTGGCCTGCTTGGGCTTAGGCAGCTTTTTTGGCAACTTTCTTTTGATGGAAACTGACACTAACTTTCTATGCTAAAGAAAGATCAATCTCTGTTACCTTTTTCGGTAAAATTTCCAGAAAAATCCATCCAGGCCGCATATATAAGGCGTCTTCATAGGGCGGCGTATATAAGGCGGCTTTATAGGGCGGCGTATATAAGGTGGCTTATATACCGAGGCGTATATAAGGCGGCTTCATAGGGCGGCGTATATAAGGCGGCTTATATGCGGCGGCGTATATAAGGCGGCTTTATAGGGCGGCGTATATAAGGTGGCTTATATACCGAGGCGTATATAAGGCGGCTTTATAGGGCGGCGTAGACAAGGTGGCTTATATACCGAGGCGTATATAAGGCGGTGCATACAGGACGGTGTATATAAGACGGAGTATATAAGACGCCGTATATACTAAAGCGTACATAAGGCGGTGTATATATAGAGCAGCGTATATAAGGCGGCTTATATACTAAAGCGTACAAAAGGCGGTGTATATAAGGCGGCGTATATAAGGTGGCTTATATACCGAGGCGTCTATAAGGCAACGTATTCAAGGCGCTACATATAGGGCAACGTATATAAGGCGGCGTATATAAGGCGGCTTATATAGGGCGGCGTATATAAGACGTCTTATACTAGCCGGCTTATATAAAGCAACGTATACAAGACGTTTTCTACAATTTTCAAGCTAATTAGAGCGCCTCATATAATCAAAAACGTTCACTTGAGCACTTTTTTTCTAAACAAAATTCAGAAAAAAGCGCTTGACGGGTTTTTTTTGAAAATTTTACTGAAAATAGAGAAAATCTACGCCTTTATTTTACTTAAAAAAAGTAAAAGCAATTCTTGTTGAAAAATTCGTCAATTGGGTAGGTTTGTGTTGTGTGTTTTAGTGTTTTGAACTGAGTGGAAAGAAGTTTGAGTTGATTAGAGGGATTTGGCTGATAGCTTTACTGGAAATAAGAAAAACTAAGAGCCTTTGATACTAAAGGTTTTGATCTTTCAGTCCGTGAAAGCCTCTCTTGACGAGTGGGCGTCAAGAGTGCGCGAACAACTCGAAATGGCGGATCGTTTATGCGCCGAGCAAGTCGACCAACTGCCACCCGATCAGTACGCAATTCTGAAGCAGAAGCGAGATGAGCTGGCAAATGTCTACGAGAATACAGTGAGGAATGTGGAAATGGTTTATGAGAGGTGAGGCTGGAGAAGGAGTTGGAGAAGGAGTTGGAGAAGGGGCTGGAGAAGGAGTTGGAGAAGGGGCTGGAGAAGGAGTTGGAGAAGGAGTTGGAGAAAGAGTTGGAGAACGAGTTCTACGGTTTCTACGGTTTGCACAAGTTACTGTAGTCTACTGGAGTTGCTGGAGCTAGTGTTTCCATTGCCAGTTACAGTACCTAAGTTATACGAATCAATTCGAGCTACAGTAGTTCTGTTAAAGACAGTGAAAGACAGTGAAAGACAGTGAAAGACAGTACAGTACTACTAGTAGTACTAGTAACAGTACTACTCAAATCTGGGCAATTAACAGTAGCTCAGACTACGACTCAGACTTTGACTCCTCTCATTTTCCAGACTGCACGCGATCACTCAGCTACTCATCGAGTTCTCCACTCATTCCTCATCGATGCAATCGTGGATCACCGATGCGACGCGGAGAGCTGGAGATATTAAAGCCTCGTCAGCTGATCCGTCGAATATCGTCGAGCAACGGGCAAAGGCTAAACAATTACAGGTGAGTCATGCTCCAAGCTAGCTATAAGACGGCTCGATAATAAGACGGCTTGTATATAAGACGGCTTGTATATAAGACGTCGCGTATATAAGGCAGCGCGTATATAAGGCAGCGCGTATATAAGACGGCTCGTATATAAGGCAGCGCGTATATAAGGCAGCGCGTATATAAAGGGGACGTATATAAGGCTACGTGTATATAAAGCTACGTGTATATAAGGCGGCGCGTATATAAGGCGGCGCGTATATAAGACGGCTTGTATATAAGACGGCTTGTATATAAGACGGCTTGTATATAAGACGTCGCGTATATAAGGCAGCGCGTATATAAAGGGGACGTATATAAGGCTACGTGTATATAAAGCTACGTGTATATAAAGCTACGTGTATATAAAGCTACGTGTATATAAGGCGGCGCGTATATAAGGCGGCGTGTATATAAGGCGGCGTGTATATAAGGCGGCGTGTATATAAGGCGCTGCGTATATAAGACGGCTCGTATATAATATGGCTTGTTTATAAGGCTAGAAAGACCAGATTCCGGCAATTTAAGCCTGTAGCGGTCCATGCTGACCTTACTTCTGCTACTGACCTTTCCATTCCTTCTGGTCACTCTGAAATGGACCAGGATAGCAGCTGGACTAATCCTGCGTCTAGCTCTGGGATCCGGTCAAGGAGATTTTGAATTAGTTTGAACTAGAACTAGCCATTTCTATGGCTCCTGTTCACCCCGGCTCTGGTCTAGCCAGTCCTTGAATGATTTAACCGACTAATTGTACAGTCTGGTCTAATTGTACAATCTGGTCTAGCCTAACTGACCTAACCCAGTCTGGTCTAGTCTAACTGGATTTTAAACGGATTATTCCGACCTCGGCTTGCTTCTAGGGGCTTAAAATTCTTTCCAAGTATCAATTTATATTCTAAAGAGAATTTCCAGGATGAAGTAGCCGGTGGAGAGCCTCGTTTGAAGCAAATCGGCTCAATCGTTACTCGGATCGAGGCAGAAATCGCGGCGATGCACGAAAGTGTCCCACAAGTGCAGCTGGGTGGAGTGAATGGAGATGAAGTGAAGAAAACGTTCTACCGAGTAGAGGTAAGGCTTGAGGAGCACAAAAGTAGTATTTCTAGTATCTCTAGTATCTCTAGTATCTCTAGAGCACTGTAGTATCCACTACAATATCCCAGACACTTTAGCTTAGGCTAGGATACTGTAGTGAGGTTGCTACAGGGTCAGTAAGGATATTTTAAGTACAGGGTCAGTAAGGACTATCGCCAATCTTTTCAGGATGACTACAACGAGCTGCTGAGACAGTGCCAAGATCTGTCGTCCTTCCAAAATCGAGTCGCCGCACTTGGAAATGATGTCGCTGAAAGGGCTGGACGGTAGGATTTCAAGAATATAGTAACTATTACAACAAAGTTGTTCCAAAGCTGACCCGAGCCCTAGTGTAGTTCTTGATCAAGGTCCTGAACTCTATCTGGCTTTGGATCAAGGTCCTGAACCCTACCTGGCTTCGGATCAAGGTCCTGAACCCTACCTGGCTTCGGATCAAGGTCCTGAACCCTACCTGGCTTCGGATCAAGGTCCTGAACCCTATCTGGCTTTGGATCAAGGTCCTGAACCCTATCTGGCTTTGGATGAAGGTCCTGAACCCTATCTGGCTTTGGATCAAGGTCCTGAACCCTACCTGGCAACGAATCAAGGTCCTGAACCCTATCTGGCTTCGGATCAAGGTCCTGAACCCTATCTGGCTTTGGATGAAGGTCCTGAACCCTATCTGGCTTCGGATCAAGGTCCTGAACCCTATCTGGCTTTGAATCAAGGTCCTAGACCTTATCTGGCTTTGGGCCAAGATCCTGGACCTTATCTGGCTTTGGGCCAAGATCCTGGCCCTTATCTGGCTTTAGATCAAGGTCCTGAACCCTATCTGGCTTTGGATCAAGGACCTTATCTGGCTTTGTGTTGTGTCAGAAAACTTGCGTTCAAGGACACAAAGTACGGCTGTTAAATCCATTTTTCAGTGCGGACAACTGGTTACGTCAACTCGAGAATCAACTGAATGACCTCTTCGGGAAGAAAGGAGTTCCAGTGGAAGAAAGACTGAGAATCGCGGATGAGATGAATCGACGAGTGGCTGATGAGCAATCACAATTAGATGATGCGGATCAAGCGGCAATGAAACTGCTGGGAATTCTCGAAGGAACACCCGCCTACGATGAAGTGAAAGAGAGGCACCAGAAAGAGCACAATGAAAGGAGGAAGAGGTGGGAGAGTTTGAGAAAAAGTACTTTGCTTACAGTACTTTGCTTGGAGTACTTTGCTTGAAAGTAGGGCTTAGGAAAGCTTCTATATGCTTCTTAACATTCTAAAGTACAGTACTTGTACAGTACAGTGCTTGTACAGTGCTTGTACAGTAGAGTGCGTGTACAGTACAGTGCTTGTACAGTACAGTACTTGTTCAGTAGGTTCTTATTGGCTATTTCTCTACGTTTAGCCATAATTTCATAATATCAAAGAAATTTCAGACACAGTCTTGTACTCGATCAACTCCAACGAGTCGTCAACGAAGCAACAACGGAACAAGCAATCGGTGAAGGGGTCAAAGATGCGGTCAAGGGATTAGGAGAATGGGCTGATCAATGGGAGGACAAGGTTTGAGAATAAAAACAAGCCCTAAGCAAGCCCTAAGCAAGCCTTAAGCAAGCCTTAAGCAAGCCAAAGTCAAGCTGAAGTCAAGCTGAAGTCTGGCTTTATTCAAGCCTGACATTGGCTTGGCTCAAGCAGGCTCAAGCATTGCCTTGGCTCAAGCAGGCTCAAGCATTGGCTTGGCTCAAGCATTGGCTTGGCTCAAGCATTGTCTTGGCTCAAGCATTGTCTTGGCTCAAGCAGGCTCAAGCAGGCTCAAGCAGGCTCAAGCAGGCTCAAGCAGGCTCAAGCAGGCTCAAGCAGGCTCAAGCAGGCTCAAGCAGGCTCAAGCAGGCTCAAGCAGGCTCAAGCAGGCTCAAGCAGGCTCAAGCATTGGCTCAAGCATTGATTCTTATGTGTACATTTGTTCAAATAACACTTTCAGATGTCCCAGCAACATCCAATCCCCTTGAAACAAGATCTCTTGTCAACGCTGAAGAAAGAGGAACAGTTGGAGCACTCAGAAGCCGATGCAAGACGTGCCTTAGCTGATCAACTTGAAAATGAGGTTACAAGCATTGTTTAGAGTTAGATCTTGGCCTGGCTTGGCTGGTTTGATCTTGATCCTTGTTTGACACTTACCTGATCTATAGATAGATCAATCCAGCGCCAACACTTGACTTTTGTCATGTTTTCGAGAAAATCGAGTCTATGAACTAGAAAATCAAGTCTAGAAACTTTCTCACTCTATTTCTTAGTTCTTTACCAGCTCCGAACATGGAACTTGTTAGCTATCTGAATGGAATGAAAGCTCTAATACTCTGATAATATTAGTCTAATAAAAAGTGTAAGTTAAGATCTTTAAACCGTTACGAGTTTTGTTCAAAAGCCAGGTAAGCTAAGATCAAGCCTGGCTCAGAACTGCGGCTTACTGGCTGGGTCATTGGGCTCAGAATTGCGGCTGACTGGCTGGCTCACTGGCTGGCTCACTGGGCTGAGAATTGCGGCTCACTGGCTGGCTCACTGGCTGGCTCACTGGGCTCAGAACTGCAGCTCACTGGCTGGCTTACTGAGCTCAGAATTGCGGCTCACTGGCTGGCTTACTGGGCTCAGAATTGCGGCTCACTGGCTGGCTCACTGGCTGGCTCACTGGGTTCAGAATTACAGTCACTGGCTGGCTCACTGGCTGGCTCACGGGGCTCAGAACTGCGGCTCACTGGCTGACTCACTGGGCTCAGAATTGCGGCTCACTAGCTGGCTCACTGGGCTCACAATTGCGCACAATTTTAAGGATTAGGTATTGCTTTGAAGACTCTCTTCTCAATCAGCTTTTTAAAAACAAATTTTAGGTCCGAAAGCTCTCCACAACGAATCCATCATTGGTGGAAAAAGAGGGTTTAGAGGAAAAACTCGGGGCGACAAAGAGAAAGTTGGCAAAAGCGAATTCTTGGCATCAAGCTTTCCAAGACAACGTAAACGACGCACTGAAAGGAGTGATCGATTTGGAGAATCGAACGGATTTAATCCAACAACACTCGAATCTCTTGATGCAACAAGTGAAACCGATTCCACCGAAGGTAAATCTGGGTTATTCTAGAGCTTTGCTGACTTTTAAAGTCCTATAATCTGCCAGCTAGACTAAAATTGGGTTATTGTAGTTTTTGGCGGTAAAAAAATAGCTCTTTAGCCTTTTTTCATTCAAAGAATAGCTCTTTAGCCTTTTTTCAATGGCCTTTCAATGCCTTAGTCTATTTTTAGCTCAAAATCTCAATCAGTACTTGCCTGAATGCTTTAAAAACATATCTAAATGTGAAAAATGTTTAAAAGAATCAATCCTAAGCTTTCCTAAAGCTTTCCCGAAAAAATCTCGGAAAAAGAGCGAAAATGATCTCGGGCGGGATCGAACCGCCGACCTTCTGTGTGTTAGACAGATGTGATAACCACTACACCACGAGACCGCTTGACCGAAGGAGGAAAAAAAGGGTCTTATGAATGATCGGTGAATCAAATTGACTAAAATCTGGCTAGACTAAAAAGCTTCGTTGGTCGGTTAAGGGCGGGTTTTTCCGGAGGGTCTCCATTGGTACCATGGCGCAGTCGGCAGGGTCCTTGTCTGCAAGCCGCACGATTCGGGTTCGACTCCCCGTACTGCCGCGAAATCTTGACTTTTTTGATTTTTGTTTGAAATGACAAAACTATATTATATTCTAAGGTTTTCTAAAGGAAGGTGAGCTTTATTGGTCTCTGTTCTATTGGCAAACTTGGCTAGATCTGTTGGTAAACTTGGCTAGGCAAGAAGAACTAGATATAAATGTAAATCAGTATGAAAAACATCGAAAAAACAAAAAAACAAAAAAAACAAAAATTTTTTAGTAATCCGAGGGTCGAGGGTTCGATTCCGAGTCAAGCCAATTTTTTAAAAGAGTTAAAAAACTTCTTAAAAAGATAATTCTAGGGTAATTTTGAACGCTGATTCCGAAAAAATGAATTTTAGCACAGATTTTCATACAAAAAAACAAAGAAACTCGGGTTTTTTCGGCTAAAAGTACCTCAATAAATAAAAACTTTGAAAGTTGATTGACAAACGATCAAATTGATGAATGGAAATTGATGAATGGAATCCTTTTTCTTTCAATCCGCTAGATAAATAGCTTTTGAATGAGCACACGATCTTTTAAGCTATTACACAAATGGGATAAGTCGTCTAGTCACTCGATCGTCTAGTCGCCTAGTCGGTCGCCTAGATCCTCTTCAAAACAATTGGCCAAACGGCCAAACGGCCAAACGTTCTCCCCAACCAAAAAAATACCCTTACTATATTAGCTATAAGTAAATTCACCTAAAACACACACAAATCTACCGTAAACTTTTTGCAGGATCTCGAAAAAATCGAAGAGGCACGAAACTCGTTGAGAGCGTTAGGAGAAGAGACAATCGAGGCGGGCAAAATCCTCGGGAAACTTCTGCAAATCCCGGCTGTCACTGAGACGGATCATGTCGAGAATTTGATGAAAGAAGCTGGAGCAAAGGTAGATTTACATCTCTGACTTTCGAGTTACTATCCGATTACTAGTCCTTACCGGATAGGAATTCGTCTCAGAAAACTGTTACCCTGTGCAGATGTTTATAAGCACTTGATTGATTGACTGGCCTTTTTAGGCTTAGGCTTAGGCCTCAATTAGACTTGGCCTAGTCTGGTGCCAGTCTGACTGAGAGCTAGCCGAAACTAGTCAGTCAATCGTCTAGTCGATCGGTCGTCTAGTCCATCGGTCGGACGTCTAGTCCGTCAATCGTCTAGTCGTCTAGTCGTCTAGTCGTCTAGTCGTCTAGTCGTCTAGTCACTCGATCGTCCAGTTGATCAATCGTCTAGTCGTCTAGTCCCTCGATCGTCTAGTCGTCTAGTCGTCTAGTCAGTCGATCGTCTAGTCGATCGGTCGGACGTCTAGTTCGTCAATCGTCTAGTCGTCTAGTCGTCTAGTCGTCTAGCCACTCGATCGTCTAGTCGTCTAGTCGCCTAGTCGATCAATCGTCTAGTCTTCTAGTCGTCTAGTCGTCTAGTCGTCTAGTCAGTCGATCGTCTAGTCTTCTAGTCGTCTAGTGGATCGATTGTCTAATCGGTCAGTCGATCGTTTAGTCGGCTAGTCGTCTAGTCCAAGCTAGTCGTCTAGTCCAAGCTAGTCGTCTAGTCTTCCAGTCGTCTAGTCGGCCAGTCGTCTAGTCCAAGCTAGTCATCTAGTCCAAGCTAGTCATCTGGCCCAAGCTAGTCGTCTAGTCCAAGCTAGTCGTCTAGTCCAAGCTAGTCATCTAGTCCAAGCCAGTCGTCTAGTCCAAGCTAGTCGGTCGGTCGAGTTTGACCAGGTCTTAGCCCTGATTAAGCTGAGTTGAGCAGGCTTGATTCTGCTCTGATTTAGTCCGCTTGATCTTGGCTTTCCTGGCTTTGAGTGTCATGCTTTTTCAGATTTTCAGCTATCTTTATAAAATTTGTAAATTTAGGTCGACGCGGTGGCTCAAGCCGTTGAAGATAAAGCGCAAAAAGCGGCAGAGTTAAGCGAATTGGACAAGAAGTTCTCTAAACTCAAGGAGGAATTCGGGAGCTGGTTGAACGATTTGGATGAGGTTAGGACTTGACATTTAACTTGAAAAACGAGTTATTCTTTGGGTTATTCGTTAGAGGTACTTAAAGAGTACTGTATTAGGTCCAGAGAAGTTAATACAGTACTCTTCAAGTACAGTAGTACTCTTTAGCTATTGTAGTACTCTTTAAGTACTGTAGTGTACTGTAGTGTACTGTACTAACCCATTTTTTGCCTTTAGACAGTTTCCTCTTTATCTCCTTTATCCTCAACATCGGATGGCTTGAAAGAGCAACAAAAAGAGTGCTCACAGTTGAGAGATCAATATGCAGAAGGAGCACAACCTTTAGAAGAATTGGAAAGGTTATCGATTGCCATTGCTGAGCTAGAGACGATTCCTGGTGAGTCTAAGAAAATGAAGGTGATGAAAAATGAAGAAAATGAAGGATAATTATAAAGTAGTTTCAATAGTCCAGGGTTAGAGATAGTTATAAAGTAGTATTCAATGTACATCATAATTTGATCAATCCAAATTTCTCTGTGACATCCAACTAGAATATAACCAAAAGATTAGACAGCTTACTCCTACTAAAACAAGAGTTATACAGGCGAGAAGGTTGACTCGAAAAGTGCTGGACTGAAATTCCGTAATGCAGAAATTTGATCAATCCAAATTTCTCTGTGACATCCAACTAGAATATAACCAAAAGATTAGACAGCTTACTCCTACTAAAACAAGAGTTATACAGGCGAGAAGGTTGGCTCGAAAAGTGCTTGACTGAAATTCTCAGCTACAGTACCCGTGTCATATGTCGTTTAAAGCAAATCGACTATGGGGAATTCAAAAATCGAGCTCATTTCTACTGCTACAGTACTGTTGCGTATTTTTGCAGTGTTTCATACCTTTCTCCTCCTCTTCCGGCGCTTTCATCTTTCTTGTTTGCTTTGCTTTATCAGTGAGCGCTTTCATCTTTCTTGTTTACTTTATCAGTGCTTTATCAGTAATGGTTTTATCAGTGAGCGCCTCGAAGAGTAGCTTGGAGTTGATCGAAACGAAGAATGGATATGATTTTCGGATTCCTGATAGTCGATTTGCTTTAAACGACATACGGGACGGGGGTGTTGGACGGAGATTTTAGCCAGGCACTTTCCAGACTCGGTTCAATTACGCGACTTTGTGTAAAAAACAGTAATTCCAGAATTGCGAAATCCAGAAATTTGATCAATTCAAGCTTTAGTGTGACATCCAACTAGAATATAACCAAAATCTTAAACAGCTTACTCCTACTAAAACAAGAGTTACGCCGGCGAGAAGGTTGGCTCGAAAAGTGCTTGACTGAAATTCCGTAATGCAGAAATTTGATCAATCCAAATTTCTCTGTGACATCCAACTAGAATATAACCAAAAGATTAGACAGCTTACTCCTTCTAGAACAAGAGTTATACAGGCGAGAAGGTTGGCTCGAAAAGTGCTTGACTGAAATTCCGTATTGCAGAAATTAGATCAATCCAAATTTCGCTGTGACATCCAACTAGAATATAGCCAAAAGATTAGACAGCTTACTCCTACTAGAACAATAGTTATCCTTTAGAATCTGATCCCGATCTGATTTGGTAGATTTTTAGACTTGAACTGCCTTGATTGTCTTAAGCTTGGCCTTGATTGTCTTAAGCCTGACCTGTCTGGCTAATCCTAGGATAAGAGTGAATCAGGTAGGACCTGAGCACTATAAGATTAAGGCCAGAGGTAGAGTCAAGTTTGAGGTAAGTAGTAGAACTGGGGGACGGTAAGAAGAAGGGTACGAAGAAGAAGGCTGGGGTAAGGCCTGCTATGGTGGGTTTAGGATACAGTAGGATACAGTAAGATACAGTAGGATTTAAAGGCTAGAGTTATACCTGGAAAACCAACACTTGCTTCCCAATTTCTAGGCTCGAGAAGCAGCAGTATTCCAAGAAATGTATTCGATCTGAGATCTCGCTACGATCAACTGGGATCACAAATCGATGGACGAGCTCAGAAAATCAACGAACAACAAAAACAAGCACATCAATTCGAGGACAAAGCCGCCGCCGTGCAACAATGGATCAAAGAGCAGAGGGGAAAGCTGGCGAATGAGGTGAGGTGTTCTTTGAGCTACTGTACTGTTCCCAAAAAAGCTGTTTGCTTGTAAAGCGGTGCCCTACGTATCCTAAGGATACTGTGACACCCAAAATGATTATACAAAGTACAGTAACCCATTCTGACTACAGTAATCCTTGCTACAGGCTTAAGCTAGCTACTTACTGTACTGTTCCAAAAAAGCTCTTTGCTTGTAAAGCGGTGTCCTACGTATCCTAAGGGTACTGTGACACCCAAAATGTTTATAGAACAATAATAAGGCCGAGTTTTTCAGTTCCCGTTGGATCTCTCAGCTGATGGAGTGAAATCGTCGAAAGAACGCCTTGAACACCTCCAAAAGGAAAACCGAGCCGGGCAAAGAGGTGTCGATGATTTGAGATTTGATGCGATCTCCCTGATTCGCTCAAATCCGAATAATGCAGAGGTTGCGATGCTCGAGAAAGCAATCGAAATGGAATGGGAAGCATTGCAAAATCAACAGGAAGCGACAAGGAAAAAGTTGGAGGATGCCGAGAAAATCGTGAGTTTTCTGGAGAGATAATTCAACTCGTGTGCTAGAGGAAATGCGTTTGTGCTCAAGTCCAGTAGTTCTCAGAGCTCTGGCAGGCACAGCGATTGCACAGCGATTCGATTAACAAATTTAGGTGGATGGCGTGAACCAATTGGATCGTTGGTTGCATGGAAAACAGCGGTTGATTGACTCTGTTGGTGCTCCTTCTACTGATTCTCATATGGCAAAAGGACAAAGGGCACAAATTGATATGTTAAAGGTTGGGAGAAATTACAGTACGCAAGATAAGGGCTCAGACCCAGGCTCTGGCTAAGGCCCAGGCTCAGAGCGACCTCAGGCTTAGGCCAAGCTCAGTCCAGGCTTAGGCCAAGCTCAGTCCAGGCTCAGGCCAGGCTCCGGCTCTGACTCTGGCTTTGTGACGCACCTTCCTGTCGCATTTTGACATTTAGTATTCTAGAAGTCTTGTATTTTAACACCCTCAAAGTACACATAAGACTACAGGTTCTCATTGCCTCCTCGTGTCCTTTGAGCACTTGTAACTTTGAGCCTTTGAGCACATGTGCATTCTGGTGCTCAGGCTCAGGCTTGCTAGAATCGCCAGAGTACTAGAATCACCAGAGTCCTAGAATCATTTAGATTACTAAGAAATATCTCTGTTACAAAGCTAGATACTTATTTCTCAGATTGACACCGAAAACGAGCGCCTTAACATGGAAAAGCTGAAAGATTTGGCGGAAAAGCTCGGCGATTCGGCGACAAATGATGGAGATAAGGAGATCATACAAAAACAAGTGAGCTTAATAGGAAAGATTTTGATTTAGTCTTGTTGTACAGTTGGCTGGCTGGCTAGCTGGCTAGCTGGCTAGCTGGCTGGCTGGCTAGCTGGCTGGCTGGCTAGTTGGCTGGCTGGCTGGCTAGCTGGCTGGCTGGCTAGCTGGCTGGCTGGCTAGTTGGCTGGCTAGTTGGCTGGCTGGCTGGCTGGCTGGCTAGTTGGCTGGCTAGTTGGCTGGCTGGCTGGCTGGCTAGCTGGCTGGCTGGCTAGCTGGCTGGCTGGCTAGCTGGCTGGCTAGTTGGCTGGCTAGCTGGCTGGCTGGCTAGTTGGCTGGCTGACTGGTTGGCTGGCTAGCTGGCTGGCTGGCTAGCTGGCTGGCTAGTTGGCTGGCTAGTTGGCTGGCTAGTTGGCTGGCTAGTTGGCTGGCTGACTGGCTGGCTAGTTGGCTGGCTGGCTAGTTGGCTGGCTGACTGGCTGGCTAGTTGGCTGGCTAAGAGCACTGTACCCCTAGTGCCTTCAGTATCCCTGGATACTGTATCATCTTGGTATACTGTAGTATTGTTGTACCCAGGGTTACTGATTGTGGTACTCAGGGTTACTTGTATCATACTCTAACTGGTAACTCTCATTTTGTCATCAATTTCAGATCGATTTGCTGAACGATCGCTGGGGATCGCTGAATGATGGATTGGAGAAGAAAGAGTCGAATATTTCGAGAGCAGCTGAACTCGGCGCTGAGATTGCGCAGATCAACAAGGAGATCAAGTGGGTTATTTTAGTTCTCGAGCCATGCCAAATAGCTGACGATAGCTAATTGCTGACTACAGCTTTCTTTCTGTCTTTCTGGCAATTACAATTAGTTTCAAAGCTCGAAATTCTCAATGCTTACAAGAGTACTGTTTAAAGTACTGTTTAAAGTACTGTTTAAAGTACTGTTTAAAGTACTGTTTAAAGTACTGTTTAAAGTACTTTAAACAGTACAGTTTCATTTCTAGAAAGAAACTCGGCGAGCTGGAGCACGAGGTGGACGCAGTTTCCCGTCTTCCATCAACAGAAATCAATCAACAATTATCCAAACTGGACGAGTTGAAAAGAAGAGAAGGAGAAGTGAATGAGTTGTTGGAGAAATTGGGGGAAAAGGTAAAGAAAGCCGATGAATATGCGGTTGATTCGACGAATCAAACGGAAATCGCCGAAGGATTGTTGAATGCAAAGACGAAAACGGCTGAGGTGAGTAGAACTCTAGAATTTAAGTACGAAAGGAAACGAAAAGACCTTCTGGTCTAACAGAAAGCCTAATAACAGAGCTCCTAAGCCTATCAGAGCTCCTACGCCTAATAACAGAGCTCCTACGCCTAATCACAGAGCTTCTAAGCCTAATCACAGAGCTTCTAAGCCTAATCACAGAGCTTCTAAGCCTAATCACAGAGCTTCTAAGCCTAATCACAGAGCTTCTAAGCCTAATAACAGAGCTCAGAGCTATTGGAAACTTTGTAAAACAAATTTGACTTATTACTGGTTTCCAGTTGGACAAGAAGATCGACTCGGTGAAGCAAGCCGCTCTTTCCGTCAAAGATCAAGGAGATCTCTTGGATCGACACGTTGATGGACTCTTGGATTCGATTCAGTTATTGGCACTGGATATCAATAATGTAAGTTGTAAGAAAAGGCACTCTGGTGCACGAGGAGCCTGAGCCTAAGCCAGCCTAAGCCAGCCTAAGCCAGCCTAAGCCAGCCTAAGCCAGCCAAAGCCAGCCTAAGCCAGCCTAAGCCTAAGCCTAAGCTCGATTTCAATACTCAACTTTAGTCTCCACCAATTTGCGCTGACAAGGAAAAGCTATTCGATGAGATTTCCCGTTTTTCTCATTTGTATGATGAGATTTTGGGAAAAGAAGGAGATGTGAGTTTGATGAAGACTAAATTGCAAGAAGATCTCCTATCGAAACCGGAAAGGAAAGAGAAATTCGAGCGATTGAATAGGGAATGGACACCGCTGTTAGAAGCCACGAAACAGAGAAGAGCCAGTTTGGATAAGGTGAGGTTTTCGAGATCTTAAAGACACGTAAAGCAGTACTTGATTGAACCCTGATCATCTACTGGGTCTAGGCTAGGTACTGTAATTGTAATACTGAAGTACTGAAGTAATACTGAAGTACCCAGACTGAGTCCAATCCTTTAAAACTGTTCCGAACCTAAGCCTAACCTTAAGCCTAACCCTAAGCCTAACCTGGGAACTGGCCGAGACTCAGAAAATCGGAGTTGAGCCTAAACCCTAATAGTGCGAGACAGGCAAGCCTAAGCCTAAGCTTAATCCCAAATCAAAATAGACTCAGTCTTAGCCGCCAAGCCTAAGCCTAGCCTCAACCCAAATAGACTCAGTCCTAGCCAAGCCTAAGCCCAGCCCCAACCCAAATAGACCCAGCCAAAGCCAAGCCTAAGCCTAGCCCAGACCCAAATAGACCCAGCCAAAGCCAAGCCTAAGCCTAAGCCTAGCCCAGACCCAAATAGACTCAGTCCTAGCCAAGCCTGAGCCTAGCCCCAACCCAAATAGACCCAGCCAAAGCCAAGCCTAAGCCTAAGCCTAGCCCAGACCCAAATAGACTCAGTCCTAGCCAAGCCTGAGCCTAGCCCCAACCCAAATAGACCCAGCCAAAGCCAAGCCTAAGCCTAAGCCTAGCCCAGACCCAAATAGACTCAGTCCTAGCCAAGCCTGAGCCTAGCCCCAACCCAAATAGACCCAGCCAAAGCCAAGCCTAAGCCTAGCCCAGACCCAAATAGACCCAGCCAAAGCCAAGCCTAAGCCTAAGCCTAGCCCAGACCCAAATAGACTCAGTCCTAGCCAAGCCTGAGCCTAGCCCCAACCCAAATAGACCCAGCCAAAGCCAAGCCTAAGCCTAAGCCTAGCCCAGACCCAAATAGACTCAGTCCTAGCCAAGCCTGAGCCTAGCCCCAACCCAAATAGACCCAGCCAAAGCCAAGCCTAAGCCTAAGCCTAGCCCAGACCCAAATAGACTCAGTCCTAGCCAAGCCTGAGCCTAGCCCCAACCCAAATAGACCCAGCCAAAGCCAAGCCTAAGCCTAGCCCAGACCCAAATAGACCCAGCCAAAGCCAAGCCTAAGCCTAAGCCTAGCCCAGACCCAAATAGACTCAGTCCTAGCCAAGCCTGAGCCTAGCCCCAACCCAAATAGACCCAGCCAAAGCCAAGCCTAAGCCTAAGCCTAGCCCAGACCCAAATAGACTCAGTCCTAGCCAAGCCTGAGCCTAGCCCCAACCCAAATAGACCCAGCCAAAGCCAAGCCTAAGCCTAGCCCAGACCCAAATAGACCCAGCCAAAGCCAAGCCTAAGCCTAAGCCTAGCCCAGACCCAAATAGACTCAGTCCTAGCCAAGCCTGAGCCTAAGCCTAACCAAAGCCCAAATAGACTCAGTCAAAGCCAAGCCTAAACCTAAGCCTAGACCATGTACGAGTACTGATTATAAGCTAAGGCTAGATGCTGTACTGGATCCTGGATTTGAATCCATTACTGCTTAAAAACTTGTTCTTTATAATGCTATAAGCATTAGGCTAGTACTGAACCTAGTTAGTACTGAACTAGTTAGTACTGGTCTAGTACCTAGACCGGGAACTAGACCCAGATCTAGGTCAGACAGTAGTGCTAAGCTAGATACTAGTACCGGAGCCAAGCCTGGGTCTAGACTGGATCTAGACCAGGTAGTAGGAGTAGATCCAGTCCAGATCTGGGTACAAATACCCAGGTCCAGCCTAGATCTAGGTACAAGTACCAGGCTCAGATCTAATGTGTCAAGCCAGGTACTAGCAGGCCAGACAGACACTATCAGGCCAGACAGCCAGATCCTTCCTAGAGGCCCAGATCAGCTATCTAACTAACCAGGGCCAAGATCTGGACAGATCTGGACAGATCTGGACATAGCTTAAATATTATCCTCACAATTTCTAGGTGAACGACCTTGTCAAGCAATTCATTGACCAAGAGGCCACACTGAAGAATCATTTGGTTGGCGATGAGCAAGGATTGGCTAAAGCTCAAGAAGAGGCTCAGGGTGAGATCCCGAACACCGATGGATTGTTGACATTAGAGGAGAATCTGGAACGACGAGCTCATGAAGCCGATACGCTGGATAATTTGGCTGACAGGTTCGATATTTCTGTCTGATTTTGGATTGAGAGAAAGCTGTGAATTCAAGAATACAGTCGAGCAAGAAACAATGAATAGAGTTTAGAAAAGCTCTCAAACAAACAGCTCTCAAACAAACAACTTCCAAACAAACAGCTCTCAATTTCAGAATTGAAAAGCTTGTTCCCAGGCCCAGATGCTCGACATTTGAAGCGAGGCGCCGAGAATCTGTGCGATGATGTGAGAGCGTTATCGAAAAAAGCGAGAAATGGATTGGCGGCTGTGCAGAAGAAGGCAAGTTATTAAAAGATATAATTTAAAAAGATAGCCAACAGTGAAATGTAGCTTTTCAAATATTTCTACCTTGGCTGCTATCTGGGTTACTCTAGCTAGTCCATACGGGTAGTGTAGGGCAACTAGTAGAGCAACTAGTAGGGCAACTAGGGCAACTAGTGGGGCAACTAGGGCAACTAGTAGGGCAACTAGTAGGGCAACTAGTAGGGCAACTAGTAGGGCAACTAGAGCAACTAGTAGAGCAACTAGTAGGGCAACTAGTAGAGCAACTAGTAGGGCAACTAGAGCAACTAGTAGAGCAACTAGTAGGGCAACTAGTAGAGCAACTAGTAGGGCAACTAGAGCAACTAGTAGAGCAACTAGTAGGGCAACTAGTAGAGCAACTAGTAGGGCAACTAGTAGGGCAACTAGGGCAACTAGTAGAGCAACTAGTAGAGCAACTAGTAGGGCAACTAGTAGGGCAACTAGGGCAACTAGTGGGGCAACTAGGGCAACTATTAGGGCAACTAGAGTACTGTACAATGAAAGATGTAGTCAGCCAACGAAAGATTCATCACTTGGCTTACTGTGGCCGAGATTACGATGGGTTTAGGGTAAGAAGCAAGCAAGCAAGCAAGAAGCAAGCAAGCTAGCTAGCAGGCTCTACCCTATTCAAAGAAAAGTCACAGAAATTGTCAATCCATTGTAGCTATCGTAATCCTGCTAACAACATCTTTTCAGATCGATCTGCGCACCAAATTCGACAAGTTGATCGACGAGAGCACAGCGTTTGCCGAGGGAAAAGAGGCAGAACTTGAAAAGGACAAGGAGATGATCAATAGAGAAAGATTGCAAGCAAGTGAGTGAATGAAAAAGTCTATTAAAAGGCTATTAAAAGGCTATTAAAAGGCTATTAAAAGGCTATTAAAAGGCTATTAAAAGGCTATTAAAAGATCTATTTTATTGTAGGATCTTTTTATGAGTTGCTTGGATTGAAATGAACTTTTCAGAACTCTCCGAAGTCGAGTCGTTTTGGGGGAAAACTGGTCGAGAATTGAAACAACTTGGGCAAGATTTGAAGCAAATTCTGCCCGATGAAGCCCATCAATCCATCGATTTGCCAATTGAGGAGCTGGGAGAGAGATTCCGAGGGATTGATCGAGAAGATGAGGTGGGGGAGTTGGGATTTGAGTGGCTTGGAATTTGATTGGCTAGATTTGATTGGCTAGATTTGAGTGGCTAGATTTGGGTGACTAGATTTGAGTGGCTAGATTTGATTGGCTAGATTTGAGTGGCTAGATTTGAGTGACTAGATTTGGGTGACTAGATTTGGAGTGGCTAGATTTGAGTGGCTAGATTTGAGTGGCTAGATTTGAGTGGCTAGATTTGGAGTGGCTAGATTTGGAGTGGCTAGATTTGGGTGACTAGATTTGAGTGGCTAGATTTGAGTGGCTAGATTTGGAGTGACTAGATTTGGGTGACTAGATTTGGAGTGGCTAGATTTGAGTGGCTAGATTTGGAGTGGCTAGATTTGGGGACTAGATTTGAGTGGCTAGATTTGAGTGGCTAGATTTGGAGTGGCTAGATTTGAGTGACTAGATTTGAGTGGCTAGATTTGAGTGACTAGATTTGGGTGACTAGATTTGAGTGGCTAGATTTGAGTGGCTAGATTTGAGTGGCTAGATTTGGTTGACTAGATTTGAGTGACTAGATTTGGTTGACTAAATTTGAGTGACTAGATTTGGTTGACTAGATTTGAGTGGCTAGATTTGGTTGACTAGATTTGGTTGACTAGGATTTGATTGGCCTAAATCTAGGCCAGGTTCTAGATATTGTACTATCCGAAAGAACAGATCTAAATACAGTACTGGTAAGCCCAGATCTTAGTCCGGCCTAGATCTTAGTCAGACCTAGATCTTAGTCAGGCCTAGATCCTAGTCAGGTCTAGATCCTAGTCAGGCCCAGATCTTAATCAGGTCTAGATCTTAATCAGGTCCAGATCCTAGTCAGGTCTAGACCCTAGACAGGTCCAGATCTTAGTCAAGCCTAGTTCCTAGTCAAGCCTAGTTCCTAGTCAAGCCTAGTTCCTAGTCAAGCCTAGATCCTAGTCATGCCTAGATCCTAGTCATGCCTAGATCCTAGTCATGCCTAGATCCTAGTCATGCCTAGATCCTAGTCATGCCTAGATCCTAGTCATGCCTAGATCCTAGTCATGCCTAGATCCCAGTCAGACCCAGATCTTAATCAGGCTCAGGTGACTGACCTGCTGGCTAAGATCTAGCAGGTCTAGCAGGTCTAGATCTTAGCCAGGCCCATCCCGTCGACAAACGAGCGTCGCGTTTGCGCAAAGACCACAAACAAACGTTTCTTTTGCTTTATATAGAGTCGATTAGCAAATTCATTTTGCAGATTGATCGATTTGACGCTAAACGAGAAACGCAAAGAGGCCGAGAATGTGAAAGAGAAAACGATTCGATTAGCGACAAGGCTGAACTCTTTATACTCGGTAAACTAACTGATCCTGATCCTCCAGAGTACTGTAAGCCTTAGCTACAGTAATCAGCAACTACAGTAGACATTAGCTACAGTAATCATCAACTACAGTAACTACAGGTTGGCGACACCTTTGGAAAAGTCGTCGCCGACCTGTAGTTGATAGCAAACGTCTGTCTTCTTGCCAAGGTGTCAAGTGTTATATAGAGAATTGTAGCCCCGAATCTTCGCTACATTTCTCTACCAAAAACTTCTCAATTAGCTTTATACAACTCATTTTACAAGCCCTCGAATGCCAAGTGACAAAAATGGCAGACCAAAGACCTTGAGCCCATTCAAGTGCTTGTAAAATTAGTTCTATAACTCTAATTGGGAAACTTTTAAGGGGAAAAATGTAGACAAGAAAAAGGGCTTTATTTTTGTATATAACACTTTGAGGTTTGGTAAGAAGAGAGGCGTTTGGCAGGAAGTGAAAAGTCGAACTTTCTGAAAAAATCGGCACTTTATAAATTGTGATTAGATTCAGACAGTATTTTATTGAAATAAATCACATAAATGTTGCAATAATCCTCTAAAAAGCATAAAATAAATAAAACTCTTTCTAGGGCAAATAAAACTCTTCCTTTTCTAGGATTTAAATGATTTGGATCCGATTGGGCGAAGTTTGGATGAGTTGCAAAAGCAGAATGAACAATGCGACGAGATGAATGCCGAGCTAAACGAGAGGGAAAGCGAGTTGAATTCGGTGCTGGGATAGAGCTATTTTAGTAGAGCTAAGGATCAAGATATCTTCTAGATATCTAATTTTCGATACACTACTGAACAATCGAATATTATATTTGCAAAAAAATCGTAATTAAAAAACGATCGTCACTTTCGCGCGTCTATAACTCCCTTGTCTTTACCGTATTTCGAAATATTAATATTACCATTGTGTAGCCCTTGAAAAGAGCTTTCAGAAAATGTATAACACTAATAGTTTAAACTCAAAGACAAGCGAGTTACAGACGCGCGAAAGTGACGATCGTTTTTCAAATATGATATTTCATTGTCCAGTACTGTACTTCGAGGATAGGATTTAGCTAAGTAACTTAACTCTGGAGCTGGAGCTAATAGAGCTCTGGAGTTGGAGCTACTGAAGCTCTGGAGCTCTGAATCTCTGGAGCTGGAACTCTGGAGCTCTGAATCTCTGGAGCTGGAACTCTGGAGCTCTGGAACTCTGAAGCTGGAGCTCTGGAGCTCTGGAACTCTGGAGCTGGAGTTAATAGAGCTCTGGAGTTGGAGCTACTGAAGCTCTGGAGCTCTGAATCTCTGGAGCTGGAACTCTGGAGCTCTGGAACTCTGAAGCTGGAGCTCTGGAGCTCTGGAACTCTGAAGCTGGAGCTCTGGAGCTCTGGAACTCTGGAGCTGGAGTTAATAGAGCTCTGGAGTTGGAGCTACTGAAGCTCTGGAGCTCTGAATCTCTGGAGCTGGAACTCTGGAGCTCTGGAACTCTGAAGCTGGAACTCTGGAGCTCTGGAACTCTGAAGCTGGAGCTCTGGAGCTCTGGAACTCTGAGCTGGAGTTAATAGAGCTCTGGAGTTGGAGCTACTGAAGCTCTGGAGCTCTGAATCTCTGGAGCTGGAACTCTGGAGCTCTGGAACTCTGAAGCTGGAGCTCTGGAGCTCTGGAACTCTGGAGCTGGAGCTAATAGAGCTCTGGAGTTGGAGCTACTGAAGCTCTGGAGCTCTGAATCTCTGGAGCTCTGGAACTCTGGAGCTGGAGCTCTGGAACTCTGGAGCTGGAGCTCTGGAGCTCTGGAGCCCCGGATCTCTGGAGCCCCGGATCTCTGGAGCTCTGGAGCTGGAACTCTGGAACTCTGGAACTCTGAATCTCTGGAGCTGGAGCTCTGGAGCTCTGGTTTTTCGATCGTTTTTCAAATAAAATATGATATTTCATTGTCCAGTACTGTAGATATCTAATTATAGATATCGATTTTCTAGTTCTAGTTCTACTTTCTAGTTCTACTTTCTAGTTCTAGTTCTAGTTTCCTAAATTCCTAGCTTTTTCACGGGTTTTACGGTCATTCAAAAGCTCAAATGCTTTTCTTTTCTTCTTTGAAATTCGATACTCGAGTAAATAGACTTGAAACGAAACTGAAAACTCGATTTTTTTTATATAAAAATACCCTGATATTCGTGATTTACAGTTTTCTTCGGTTTTTAACCCTTTTTTACCTCGATTCTAGATCTATGACTTGTGGAAATCAGCTCTGAACATTCAAGCCGTCACCCCCGAGCAATTGGCAACAAATCAACAACATTTGGATGACATGAAACGGGTGAGTTGAATGCAATACGTTGATACTAACGAGAAAATCTCTTTTGCTGTCGATCTTTTGCTGTCAGTCCTTTGCTGTTAGCTTTCTAGAACCTTCAGAACCTTTCTAGAGCCTTCTGAACCTTCTTAGAACCTTCAGAACCTTTCTAGAGCCTTCTGAACCTTCCTAGAACCTTCAGAACCTTCCTAGAGCCTTCTAAACCTTCTTAGAACCTTCAGAACCTTTCTAGAGCCTTCTGAACCTTCCTAGAACCTTCAGAACCTTTCTAGAGCCTTCTAAACCTTCTTAGAACCTTCAGAACCTTCCTAGAGCCTTCTAAACCTTCTTAGAACCTTCAGAACCTTTCTAGAGCCTTCTGAACCTTTCTAGAACCTTCAGAACCTTCCTAGAGCCTTCTAAACCTTCTTAGAACCTTCAGAACCTTTCTAGAGCCTTCTAAACCTTCTTAGAACCTTCAGAACCTTTCTAGAGCCTTCTGAACCTTTCTAGAACCTTCAGAACCTTCCTAGAGCCTTCTAAACCTTCTTAGAACCTTCAGAACCTTCCTAGAGCCTTCTAAACCTTCTTAGAGCCTTCAGAACCTTTCTAGAGCCTTCTGAACCTTTCTAGAACCTTCAGAACCTTTCTAGAGCCTTCTGAACCTTCCTAGAACCTTCAGAACCTTCCTAGAGCCTTCTAAACCTTCTTAGAACCTTTTTCTCAGCAACAACCCTTCGATTTGAACTATTTTGACTATACTTTCCCTTTGCCGTTGGGAATTTAGGATTTTCCTCAGCACCAAAGCTCTATTTTGACTATTTTGACTATCAGTTAATGCAGAATGAAATTGCGCGTCGAATGATGCCAAAACCAACTCAAAATGTAATATCCATGCAAAGTTATGAGACAAAAGGTTAAGCCGCACCCACAATGAATGGGGTGTAGGTTTTTAGCCTATAACTTTGCATGAATATTACATATTGACTTAATTTTGTTATCATTCGACGCACAATTTGATTCTGCATCGAATTATAGCTCAAAATAGTCAAAATAAAAGCGTTGCTGCTGAGAAAAACACGAATAACCTCAAGTGGTCAAGGGAAAAAGGTTTTAGCCTATAACTTTGCATGGATATTAAATATTGACTTAATTTTGTTATCATTCGACGCGCAATTTGATTCTGCATCGAATTATAGTTTAAATAGTCAAAATAGCAGCGCTGATGCCGAGAAAAACACGAAAAATCTTAAATTTGCGCTTTCTCAGCATTACCCTTGATTTCGCCTATTTGAGCTATGATTCGATGCAGAATGAAATTGCGCGTCGAATGATAACAAAATTAGCTCAAAATGTATATCCAAGCAAAGTTATGGGGTAAATAGTTAAGCCCCACCCACAATGAATGGGGTTTAGGTTTTTAGCCGATAACTTTGCATGGATATTAGATTTTGAGTTGGTTTTGGTATCATTCGACGCGCAATTTCATTCTGCATCGAATTATAATTCAAATAGGCGAAATCGAAGGGTTGGTGTTGAGAAAAACCGTAATTTAAGTTTTTTCATCTTTTCTTAGCACTAATCCTTCTATTTTGCCTATCTAAGTTATCATTCGATGCAGAATGAAATTGCGCGTCGAATGATATCAAAAACAACTCAAAATGTAAAATCTATGCAAAGTTATTAGCTAAAAACCTACACCCCGCCGATTTTGCACAGGGCTTAACCTTTGCCCCATAACTTTGCATGGATACTATATTTTGGGTAGTTTTTGATATCGTTCGACGCGCAATTTCTTTCTGCATCAACTGATAGTCCAAATAGTCAAAACGGAATCATTGGCGCTGAGAAAAACAAGGAAAACCGTAGGACCAAGAGATGTTTTTGTTACAAGTCTAATAGTCGGTATACTGTGGCACCAGATCCACCAGGTTTACTTATATTTTAAGGTACTGTACCTGACTAGCTAATGCGGCTTTAAAATAGAAGCGTTGGCGCTAAGAAAAAGACGAATGACCTTAAATTGCCAATGACAAACCCCGTTATGGGCGGACTTTTTGTCTCATCACTTGAATATTACATTTTGAGTTAATTTTGATATGTTATGGATACTGTAGGCGGGTTGTAGCCAGGCTATAGCCCGGCTACGAAAGCGTACTGTAGCTTGTTTGGCTGCGATACTGTAGCTAAGCGACTGTAAATTACTGTAATTTGTAACTCCATCGAAAATCGAAAACTTCGAGTCGTTTCCTTTTGAACAAACATTCTGTGAGTCATTTTTTTGCAAAAACTTTACGCCCTTTTTATTCGGTCCCTTTTTATTTATCGATTTCCACTCATATCCTGTCAGAAAATTCAAAAAAAATCTTTCAAAAGTGCCGACAAAAAAAATGCGGCGTTTTTGAATGAAAACGAATATTCGTTTTTCCGATCCCATTCCGAATCGCTCAATCGTCGATTTCTTTTGGGAAATTCTCGAAAATTGAGAACACCTATTTTCTCGTCGTTTCCCTTTAGTCTTGATGCCATTTTTCTCACAAAGGTTTGATGATCTGGCTCGGAATCTAGCTTGGAATCTAGCTCGAGATCTAGCTTGGAATCTAGCTTGAATCTAACTCGAGATCTAGCTCGGAATCTAGCTTGGAACCTGGATCGGAATCTAGCTCGGAATCTAGCTTGGAATCTAGCTCGAATAGCTCGAGATCTAGCTCGAGATCTAGCTCGAGATCTAGCTCGAGATCTAGCTCGAATAGCTCGAGATCTAGCTCGAGATCTAGCTCGAGATCTAGCTCGAGATCTAGCTCGAATAGCTCGAGATCTAGCTCGAGATCTAGCTCAGAATCTAGCTTGGAACCTAGCTCAAAATCTAGCTCAAGATCTAGCTCGAGATCTAGCTCGAATAGCTCGAGATCTAGCTCGAGATCTAGCTCGAGATCTAGCTCGAATAGCTCGGAGATCCAGCTCGAAATCTAGCTCAGAATCTAGCTTGGAACCTAGCTCAAAATCTAGCTCAAGATCTAGCCTGAGTCTAGCTCGGAATCTAGCTCGGAATCTAGCTCGAATAGCTCGGAATCTAGCTCGAGATCCAGCTTGGAATCTAGCTCGAATAGCTCGAATTTAGCTCGAGATCCAGCTTGGAATCTAGCTCGAGATCTAGCTCGGAACCTAGCTCGGAATCTAGCTGGGAATCTAGCTCGGAATTCGAATTAGGATAGAAAAAATTCATTCAGCGTTTTGTACTTGTGAAATTTTGCTATGCAAAAAGGTTAACATGACAAAATGAAAAAAATGACAAAATTTTGGACAAATTTCCAGCCCGAATCTTTCCAGGCTTATTCAAAGCTGATCTTGGCTGGGATTCCAGAAATAGATCCATTTAGATTAGAAATTAGGACCAACGATTCCATTTTGATTACTGAAATGAGGCAACGGGCTTCGCGATCCGGATAGGATGTGGATAAGATCCGGAATTTGAACAAATCTGAGCTTTTCTGCAGTAGCCTTTCTACAGTAGCCTTTCTACAGTAGCTTTCTACAGTAGCTTTTCACAGTAGCTTTTCTACAGTAGTCTTTCTACAGTAACTTTCCTAAAGTTTACTTTCAGCTAATCGCTAAAGGGAAACGAAAAATTGGCGATCGTTTCAAGAAAATCGGCTCAATCGGAGGAGGATTTGAAGCGAATTGAAAAGTGAGTTTGAATCATTTATCTTAAAGATCACAATATTCAAAGCTACAATAATATTTAATAGTGAATCGAAAGCTGTTATCGATGACGTAAATCGCTTAGCTGAACATGATGCGCTGAAGAACGAGAATGGATTGACTGATCCGAAAACAAGAGCTGAGGTTGGCCGAAAACATAAACTTGAATACTCCAAAGTTGGCAATTTAAATTAGATAGATTTGAATCTGATCTGTACAAAGCTAGCTGAGCAGATCTGGATCAGAGCTGGATAGCTGGATTGGATCTGAGCAGATCTGGATCAGAACTGGATCAGATCTGATTAGATCTGGAGAAGATCTGAGCAGATCTGGATCAGAGCTGGAGCAGAGCTGGATCAGAGCTGGATTAGATCTGAGCAGATCTGGATCAGAGCTGGATCAGAGCTGGATTAGATCTGAGCAGAGCTGGATCAGAGCTGGATCAGAGCTGGAGCAGAGCTGGATCAGAGCTGGATTAGAACTGCATCAGAGCTGGATCAGAGCTGGATTAGATCTGAGCAGATCTGGATCAGATCCCAATCAGATCCCAACCAGACTCCAATCAGACTCCAACCAGACTCCAATCAGATCCCAATCAGATCCCAATCAGATCCCAATCAGATACGAAACAGAAACAGAGGACCAGTGATCAAGTCCAGCTAGGCCCTAGTCAATGTTAAAATCAGAACAGAACCAGATCCGGACCAGAATCTAATCTAGGCCTACCAAAGCCTGGCTTTAAATTCTGGAAATTTTTCTGGAAGTCTGGTAGTCTGGAAGTCTAGAAGTCTGGAAGTCTGGAAGTCTGGTAGTCTGGAAGTTTGGAAGTTTGGAAGTCTAGAAGTCTGGAAGTCTGGTAGTCTGGAGGTCTGGAAGTCTGGAAGTCTGGAAGTCTGGAAGTCTGGAAGTCTGGAAGTCTAGAAGTCTGGAAGTCTTTTTGAAAGCCTGGAGGTCTTTCTGAAAACCTTTAAGCGCTCTGAGCTAGACAAATATAAAGCATAAATAAAGAATAATTTCCAGGAGCTCCGCCAACTCAAAGATCAACTCCGACCGGTGTCCGAGCGAGCCGACAGCGTGCAAGCCGAGTGTAAAGCTTTGATCAAAACAGCATCCCCGGATGCGGATACAAAGCAATTGGTGAGATATTAGAGTTATTGAGAAAGAGTTATTGAGAAAGAAATAAGCTGAGTGGAACTGAGCTCAGGCTCAGACTGAGAAGAACTGAGCTCAGGCTCAGGCTGAGAAGAACTGAGCTCAGGCTCAGGCTGAGTAGAACTAAGCTCAGGCTCAAGCTGAGTAGAACTAAGCTCAGGCTCAAGCTGAGTAGAACTAAGCTCAGGCCTCAAGCTGAGTAGAACTAAGCTCAGGCTCAAGCTGAGTAGAACTAAGCTCAGGCTCAGACTGAGAAGAACTAAGCTCAGGCTCAGACTGAGAAGAACTAAGCTCAGGCCTCAGACTGAGAAGAACTAAGCTCAGGCTCAGACTGAGAAGAACTGAGCTCAGGCTCAGACTGAGTAGAACTAAGCTCAGGCTCAGACTGAGAAGAACTAAGCTCAGGCTCAGACTGAGAAGAACTAAGCTCAGGCCCAGACTGAGAAGAACTAAGCTCAGGCTCAGACTGAGAAGAACCAAGCTCAGGCTCAGACTGAGAAGAACTGAGCTCAGGCTCAGGCTGAGAAGAACTGAGCTCAGGCTCAGGCTGAGTAGAACTAAGCTCAGGCTCAAGCTGAGTAGAACTAAGCTCAGGCTCAAGCTGAGTAGAACTAAGCTCAGGCTCAGACTGAGAAGAACTAAGCTCAGGCTCAGACTGAGAAGAACTAAGCTCAGGCTCAGACTGAGAAGAACTGAGCTCAGGCTCAGACTGAGTAGAACTAAGCTCAGGCTCAGACTGAGAAGAATCCAAGCTCAGGCTCAGACTGAGAAGAACTGAGCTCAGGCTCAGGCTGAGAAGAACTGAGCCCAGGCTCAGGCTGAGTAGAACTAAGCTCAGGCTCAAGCTGAGTAGAACTAAGCTCAGGCTCAGGCTGAGAAGAACTAAGCCGGTAGAACTGAGCTAATCTCAAAATTTCCAGTCCTCTACCCTAGCTGAAGTCTCTCGAGCAGTTGATGGGATCAATGCCTCCATTGGCGCCAAACAATTGGCTCTGGATGCTGCCGTGCAACAAATGGGAAGCTATAACGATGCACAAAGGGTTGGTTAGATCTGGATTACTGTACCTCGTAGCTGTTTCCTGTAGCTGTATTACTGAATTGAGCTTTTCTTTGTTTCTAGGACCTCCAAAACTGGCTCGAGGAGACCGAGGAGCTCGTTGGGAACCAAAAATGCCATCTTCTGACGCGAAAGTTGCAAAAGCGCAATTGCAAAGCTACGATGTGCTACTAAAACACATTGAGGATAAAGAAACGAGGTTTGTTTAGTGAACTGGCACTGAAGCTCGCACCGAAGCTATCGGATGACAACCTGAAGCTATCAGTTGACAACTAAATAATCAGACTTTTTTACTTAAAATTGATTTTGAAAATGTTGGAAGGTAAGGAAATACAGATCTGCATCATTGGAAAGATCTAGAGGCCGCGTATATAAGACGGCATATACAAAATGGCATATATAAGGCGACGTATATAAGGCAGCGTATATAAGGCTGTATATACGGCGGCTTATATGGGGCAGCTTATATGGGGCAGCTTATATGGGGCAGCTTATATGGGGCAGCTTATATGGGGCAGCTTATATGGGGCGGCGTATATAAGGCGGCGTATATAAGGCGGCGTATATAAGGCGGCTTATAAGGGGAGCTTATATAGGGCGGCGTATATAAGGCGGCGTATATAAGGCGGCGCATATAAGGCGGCGTATATAAGGCGGGTATATGGGGCAGCTTATATAGGGCGGCCTATATAAGGCGGCGTATATAAGGCGGCGTATATGGGGCAGCTTATATAGGGTGGCGTATATAAAGCGGCGTATATAAGGCGGCGCATATAAGGCGGCGTATATGGGGCAGCTTATATAGGGCGGCGTATATAAGGCGGCGTATATAAGGCGGCGTATATAAGGCGGCGTATATAAGGCGGCGTATATAAGGCAGCGTATATAAGGCAGCGTATATAAGGCTGTATATACGGCGGCTTATATGGGGCAGCTTATATGGGGCAGCTTATATGGGGCAGCTTATATGGGGCGGCGTATATAAGGCGGCGTATATAAGGCGGCGTATATAAGGCGGCTTATAAGGGGAGCTTATATAGGGCGGCGTATATAAGGCGGCGTATATAAGGCGGCGTATATGGGGCAGCTTATATAGGGCGGCCTATATAAGGCGGCGTATATAAGGCGGCGTATATGGGGCAGCTTATATAGGGCGGCGTATATAAGGCGGCGTATATAAGGCGGCGCATATAAGGCGGCGTATAAGGGGCAGCTTATATAAGGCGTCGCATATAAGGCAGGCGTATATAAGGCGGCGTATATAAGGCGGCGTATATAAGGCGGCGTATATAAGGCGGCGTATATAAGGCGGCTTATAAGGGGGAGCTTATATAGGGCGGCGTATATAAGGCGGCTTACATAGGGCGGCTTACATAGAGCGGCGTATATAAGACGGCTTATATAGGTCTATATAAGACGATTCCATCATGCAATGCAGAAAAATGAAAAGAATGACAAAATGGGAGTTTTTGTGTGCGGTTCGGGAGCATCCACGCTTTAGAAAGCCCGCCACGCTTTCGCGTTCGCTTCAGTCCCGGAAAATCGCACGCCAAAAGGAATCTAGCATCTAGTTTACAACTTAATATTAATGGAACTGTTAGTGTCCCATAATTTCCCATTTTCAGTGTCGACGGTTTCCGTGGGATGATCGGCAAGCTCGCGAACATCGCCTCAAACGATGACGAGAAGAAAGTGCTGTCTGGAAAAGCTGATGAGGTAGGATAAAGTTGTAAGGTTGTAAACGGTACTACGGTATCGTTTACAATACCGTAGTATCGTAAACGATACCGTAGTATCCTACTACGAGAGTCTGTCTCTAAAACGCTAAAACCTCGATTCCAGATCACAAATCGATACGAAGACTTGCTGGAAGGAGCTCAAAAGGCTCAGGCTCGCCTTAGAGATACGGTGGATTTGGCGGAGAAATTCACGCACGAGTTGGCCCCATTCGAGCAATGGTTGCAACAAGTCGAGAAAAAGTGGGTGATCTAAAAAGAGATCTAAAATGATCTAAAAAGAGAACGTTCAAAACCGACCGTGACATTTCGACGCGAAACTTTGGCGAAAAGGTAAATCGATTACGAGGATTCCAAAGCTGTAATCCGTCTTGGCTGACGGCGCTCGGGCCCTGGTGCTCGGGCCCTGGTCTCGAGCCTGGTGTTCGAGCCCTGGTCTCGAGCCCTGGTCTTCGAGTCCTGGTGTTTAGGCCCTGGGTGTTTGGGCCCTGGTGTTTGGGCCCTGGTGTTCCGAGATATAAGCGTGCAAGGTTCTCAGCGTGCTCCTCTTTTCCTTCGTTTGCCTTTTATAGGCAACATCGCGACTTGTCGAGCTTGGCGTTTGGAGAAATTTGTCAAAACTTTGCACACTTATATCTCGAACACCAAGGCCCCAACACCAAGGCCCCAACACCAAGGCCCCACACCAACGCCCGAACACCAAGGCCCGAACACCAAGGCCCCAACACCAAGGCCCCAACACCAAGGCCCGAACACCAAGGCCCCAACACCAAGGGCCGAACACCAAGGCCCAAACACCAAGGCCTGAACACCAAGACCTGAGCACCAAGGCCCGAACACCAAGACCTGAGCACCAAGGCTCCCAACACCAAGGCCCCAACACCAAGGCCCAAACACCAAGGCCCAAACACCAAGGCCCCAACACCAAGGCCCAAACACCAAGGCCCAAACACCAAGGCCCAAGGCCCATCAGCGAAAACGGATTACAGCTTTGGAATCCTCGTAATCGATTTACCTTGTGCCAAAGTCAAAATGTCACGGTCGGTTCTCGTGTTCTTCCTTGCAAGAAGAAATTCTGGACCCAGATTTTGAGCGCTTTTTCTCAGGAATCGGTCAACTCGGCAACGTTCCGACTGATTCGGAGCGCTTGGGCACGCAAATTCACGAAGTGGAAGAGATTCGCGATGAGGGATCGATAAGAAAAACGATGTGGTAGACAAGATTTGTCAGGTAGGAGAATAGTTTAAGTGCAGAAGAAAGCATTCTAGGAAAGGCAAGGCTAGGCTGGACAATGTTAGGAAAGGATAGGCTAGCCTAGACAAGGCTAGACAAGGCTAGCAAGGCTAGGATGGGCTAGATTAGACTGGACTGGACTAGATTACCCTAGACTAGACTCAGACTAAAACTAGACTAGACTAGACTAGACTAGACTAGACCATGCTAAGTAAGGCTAGACAAGGCCAGGCTAAGCCTGAGCCTGAGCTGAGCCAAGGAAGAGCCCAACCCAGCCGAGAAATAGCCATAACTCCAAACAGCCATAGCATTGAGTCACTCAGCCAGTTTATGTTAAGCAAATCCTTCTCTACCGTAATCTTGAGTGTCACAACTCTTGGCTAGCTTGTTGAGCCTAAACATTTATGTATTCTTTTTCAGTTTGGCCCAGCTTTGGCCTCATTGGTGAGCGTTGAGGACGCTGGGGAGTTGGAGGCGCAAATCGGCAACGCCACCGCGAAACACGGGCAGTTGGCTGAAAGGTTTGGCTTTAGTTTTATATATTAGTTTCCAGATCTAGATAAATATCATCATAAGGATAACTTTATCTAATTTTGATAGACAGGTTCTTTTCTAGGAGCCGAACAATGCCATCTATCACTTCATGCGATGGGAGAGCTCATCTCCCGATTTCTGAGCAGGTACTGTTTATAAAGCTTTGTGCGACAGGAAGGGTGCGACAGGAAGAGCCTGAGCCTGGACTTAGCTTGGCCCCGAGCTTGGCTCTAAGCCTGGGCTCAACCTGAGCTTGGCCAGAGCCTAGGATTGGCCTAAGCCTAAGCTCGAGCTTGGCCAGAGCTCCAGGATTAGCCTGAGCCTAAGCCCGAGCTTGGCCAAAGCCTAGGATTGGCCAGAGCCTAAGCCTAATCCTAAGCTTTGCCTAAGCCTGGGCTTGACCTGAGATTGGCCAGAGCCTAGGATTGGCCAGAGCCAAGGATTGGCCAGAGCCTAAGCCTGAGCTTGGTCCCAGCCTGGGCTTCGGCCTGAGCTTGGCCTAAGCCTGGGCCTAACCTGAGCTTGGCCAGAGCCTAGGATTGGCCTAAGCCTAAGCCTGAGCTTTGGCCAAAGCCTAGATTGGCCAGAGCCTAAGCTCAATCCTAAGCTTCTGGCCTAAGCCTGGGCTTGACCTGAGATTGGCCAGAGCCTAGGATTGGTCAGAGCCTAGGATTGGCCAGAGCCTAAGCCTGAGCTTGGCCCCAGCCTGGGCTTGGCCTGAGCTTAAGCCTAAGCCTAAGCCTAAGCCAGCCAAAGCCAGCCTAAGCCAGCCCTAAGCCAGCCTAAGCCAGCCAAAGCCAGCCTAAGCCAGCCTAAGCCAGCCTAAGCCAGCCAAAGCCAGCCTCAAGCCAGCCTAAGCCTAAGCTATAGCTACAGGAGTACTGGCTTGATTACTAGCATACTAGCATACTACTATTTACTAGCATTTCCAGGACATGACCGAACTCGCCACCTGGCTAGACCAAATCGAACAAGACATGGCTGGTGTTGAAGAATTGCCGATAAATCCAGAGGAATTGGTTGAACAAACGAAATTTGTTATCGGTATTTTTAGAAAGAGAGGGTTTGCTATGTATTTGGAGCGCGAATCTTGCAAACACACCATTTCCGGCAATGGATTCACCGCGCCGGAAAGCGTGTGCTAACGGAGCCTGACAACGGAGCCCCAAAATATTTGACTTGACTATTTGGACTATCAGTTGATGCAGAAAGAAATTGAGCGTCGAACGATATCAAAACTACCCAAAATAAAGTATCCATGCTATGGGGCAAAAGGTTAAGCCCTGTCCAAAACCGCGGGTGTAGGGTTTTAGCCTATAACTTTGCATAGATATTACATTTTGAGTTGTTTTTGATATCATTCGACGCGCAATTTCATTCTGCATCGAATTATAATTCAAATAGGCGAAATCGAAGGGTTGGTGTTGAGAAAAACCGTAATTTAAGTTTTTTCGTCTTTTTCTTAGCACTAATCCTTCTATTTTGCCTATCTGGAGCTATCATTCGATGCAGAATGAAATTGCGCGTCGAATGATATCAAAACAACTCAAAATGTAAGATCTATGCAAAGTTATTAGCTAAAAACCTACACCCCTGCCGATTTTGCACAGGGCTTAACCTTTGCCCCATAACTTTGCATGGATATTAGATTTTGAGTTGATTTTTGGTATCATTCGATGCAGAATGAAATTGCGCGTCGAATGATAATCAAATAGTCAAAAAGGAACAGTTGGTGCTGAGAAAAACCCTAAATTGCTAATGGCAAAGAACCGACAGATCTTTTCGTTACAAGTCTACTACAAGCTACCGTAACTTTCTTTAGCATTGATATTTTTGGCTTGCTTTAATCCATTTGAAAGTTTCTGAAATTCTCTATATTTTAAGCCATAGATCATTTGAACCTGAAAAATCTGAAGTAAGTTAGAAGCGTTTAAAGTTTACGTTTGTCGTTTACAATTTAAATTTTCATATGGAAAGCGCAGTTTGCTAAGTGGAAAGCACAGCTCAAGCATAAGAAAGCATAGTCCAAGGCTAAGAAAGCATAGTCCAAGGCTAAGAAAGCATAGTCCAAGGCTAAGAAAGCATAGTCCAAGGCTAAGAAAGGATAGTCCAAGGCTAAGAAAGCATAGTTCAAGGCTAAGAAAGTATAGTTCAAGGCTAAGAAAGCATAGTTCAAGGCTAAGAAAGCATAAATTCAAGGCTAAGAAAGCATAGTTCAAGGCTTCGCAAGAAAGCATAGTTCAAGGCTAAGAAAGCATAGTTCAAGGCTAAGAAAGCATAGTTCAAGGCTAAGAAAGCATAGTTCAAGGCCAAGAAAGCATAGTTTCTGGCTAAGAAAGCATAGTTCAAGGCTAAGAAAGCATAGTTCAAGGCCAAGAAAGCATAGTTCAAGGCCAAGAAAGCACAGTTCTCAAGGCTAAGAAAGTATAGTTCAAGGCTAAGAAACATGTCTGGCAGAAAGCATAGTCTGCTGGCTAAGAGCATAGTTCAAGGCTACAAGAAAGCATAGTTCAAGGCTAAGAAACATTCTCTATTAAGAAAAGCATAGTTCAAGGCTAAGAAAGCATAGTTCAAGAAGAAAAATAATTCATGGGGCTAAGAAAGCGCCATTCAAGCTTCCAAGAAAGCGCAGTTCAAGCCTAAGAAAGTGCAGCTCAGGGCCAAGAAAGCGCCATTCAAGCCTAAGAAAGCGCAGTCCAAGGCTAAAAGAGCATAGTCCAAGGCTAAGAAAGCGCCATTCAAGCCTAAGAAAGCGCAGTCCAAAAATAAGAAAGCATAGTCCATTTGCCAAGAAAGCGCCATTCGCTCAAGAAAGCGCAGTCCAAGGCTAAAGGAGCGCTATCTGCTAAGAAAGCGCAGTCCAAGGCTAAGAAAGCGCCATTCGGGCCTAAGAAAGGCAGTCCAAGGCTAAGAAAGCATAGTCCGCAGCTAAGAAAGCGCCATTCAAGCCTAAGAAAGCGCAGTCCGAGTTGCTAAGAAAGCGCTATCTGCTCAAGAAAGCGCAGTCCAAGGCGAAGGAGGCGCCATTGGGGCTTCAAGAAAGCGCAGTCCAAGGCCAAGAAAGCGCCATTCAAGCCTAAGAAAGCGCAGTCCAAGGCTATGAAAAGCATAGTCCAAGGCAAGAAAGGGCCATTCAAGCTCAACGGAGCGCAGTCCAGGGTTAAGAAAGCGCCGCCCAAGCCTAAGAAAGCGTGCAGTCCAAGGCTAAGAAAGCGCCATTCGGGCCTAAGAAAGCACAGAAGTTCAAGGCTAAGATCTCCAAAAAGAATTGTATGTAAGAAATGTAAGTAGTTCTCTTCTGTGGAACTCGTCGAATCGGTGACCGAACGAGACGCTCTTGTGGCAAATGTGGTGAGAGGGGAAAACTTTATGCAAAGCGACGACAGCCGACGAGGCCCTGGCTTTGCAAGGAAAATCGATGGATTAAAGAATCGGTTTGGCGCTTTGAAATGCAAAAATAACTTCAAAAAGCTCAGAAAAGCTCAAAAGCTCAAAAAGTCTTCCTTTAAACCCCTAAATTCTAATCTTTTTAATATTCTAGCTACGTTGCTTTGGCCAATTATGCGGATGAGAAGCTCGGTCAACTTTCGAAGGCGATTCCCTTGTCGGATCGATTCCACGAGGGATTGAAAGAGTCATGGAATGGGAGATATTCTAGACCTAGGATTTCGTTTTCGATTAGGATTTCTGTTTCTGAGAAAAACGCTAGAGCTTCGTCCAAAACCACCCAATCATATTAGAAGAAAGCAGAAAGAAGAAAGAAAGAAGAAGAAAGCGAGAAAGCGCGATTGACTGGATTAGATTCAAAACAATCACTTATTTGGGTTTAGCCGTTATCCAGGAACTTCTCACCACCGCCAATCGATTCTCCGTGTCAATTTGCATAAGAACCGCAGGCTAAAAGGCCGATTTAAAGCTTGTGGAGCGAGGTAGAAAGGCTTAAAGTTGGGTTCTAGGAGTGACTTGGGCCAGTGGACCTGCCGTCTAGAGGACTTGGGCTAGTGGACTGCCGTCTAGGAGGATCTAGGAGGACTTGGGCTAGTGGACTGCCGTCTAGGAGGATCTAGGAGGACTTGGGCTAGAGGACTGCCGTCTAGGAGGATCTAGGAGGACTTGGGCTAGAGGACTGCCGTCTAGGAGGATCTAGGAGGACTTGGGCTAGTGGACTGCCGTCTAGGAGGATCTAGGAGGACTTGGGCTAGTGGACTGCCGTCTAGGAGGACTTGGGCTAGTGGACTGCCGTCTAGGAGGATCTAGGAGGACTTGGGCCAATGGACTGCCGTCTAGGAGGATCTAGGAGGACTTGGGCTAGTGGACTGCCGTCTAGGAGGATCTAGGAGGACTTGGGCTAGTGGACTGCCAGAATC